AAATAAATCTAAAAACAAAAAAGTAATATTCGAAATGATCCAAATAATAATTTGTCACATATAAAGATTCAGTAAGCTATAACTCCAAACAACTCAAGGAAAACATGAGAGTTTGATGCCACAGAAGGTTAATTTATTAAATAATAAGCATACCCCTTACATTGCAGGGAAACAAGGCCACCCCATCTATGAAGAAAACTTAATTTCATATAAAATGTGAAATACAAAGTTCTATGGTATTTTCCCAACTTTGACTATCCTTTGAATATGTAATGACAATAGAACATATATTTCTGGGAAACTAAACACTTCCTGAAGTGGGGAAGTAGCAAATGAATTTAGAAGCAGATAGCATTTCACATTAGTGCATAAAGAGGCAAGCTGTGGATTTATAGAAGGTAGGATTATAGATTGTGCTGCATTAAGTTGACAGGAAACCTCTAGATTAGGGTGACAAATGTAAGCTTCGGGTTTTGAGAACCACGGGATCTACAATTTAAAGTTGGAAGCTACTGAACTCAGTTTCTGGCAAAGGTCTAATTTCTGGCTGCTGACGGTTTATAGCAGCTCTCGAGATAGAGCTGCTATGGAGAAATCCATCTTGTTAGCAACTAGAAGACAGAGGTGACTGAGGAGCAAAGGAATTTGGGGAAGAGATAGATCAGGGGCTTCCCTGGTGGTTCAGGGGTTAAAGTCTCAGCCCTATCAAGCTGTCACCAGCCACTGTGGCATGAGTTCGATCCTCAGCCAGGGAGCTGACCCACAAGGCACAGCAGACCTCTCCGTCTGTTCTGCTCCCCACCTGTTCTGCTTCCCACCTGTTCTGCTTCCCACTTTGTCTCTATCACCCTCCCCTCTCAACACCTCTGGCCTACACATGAATTCTCCTATGCAAAATTAAAAAATATATATATAAAAAAGACTGGGTAGATCAGGAAGTCTCTAAGAGAATTTTCTACTGGCGGCTGTGTCTAATATCTAACAGTGACTGTGTCTCTGTGTCTGGTGCATCTGTCGGCAGCGTCAGAGAGTACCACTGTCTCCTGTAC